CCTTATATTCCTGTCTCCTCTCTTCAGTCCTCTCACTGTCATATTTATTCTTGACTTATCTCTTTCTTTGAATGGTGTCCTGCACTTCACTATTCCACCACCAGGTTTCCTTATCATCCATTATCTGTCCAGATGACACACCGAGTACTCTCCTACCTTTCTTTCTAATTACTGTTGCTGTAGTAGTCCAGTCATTTGGAAGCTCTTTCTTACCACCCAGAGCCTTTAACAGCTCCTCTCTGAATTTCTCACAACATTCTTCCTTCTTCATCTTCCACCGTTTGGTTTTTGTACTTGATTTTACTATTTTTCTCTTCTTCACAACAACAGTCATTCTACACACAACCATCCGATGCTGTCTGGCCACGCTCTCCCCTGCCACAACCTTACAATCTCCCTCAGGTTTCCTCTTCTACACAGAATGTAGTTGACTTGCGTACTCCTTCCTCCACTCTTATAGGTCACTCTATGCTCCTCCCTCTTTTTGGAAACAAGTGTTGACTACAGCCATTTTCATTCTCTTGGCAAAATCCACCACCATCTGTCCTTCCTGGTTTCTTTCCTTGCCACCAAACCTACCCATCACTTCCTCATCCCCTCTGTTTCCTTCACCAACATGTCCATTCAGGTCTGCTCCCATCACCACTCTCTCCTCCCTGGGAATACTCTCTATCACTTCATCCAGATCTTTCTCCTCCACATCACATCCAACCTGTGGAGCATAACCACTGACAACATTCAGCATCAGACCTCCTACTTCTACCTTCAGACACATCACCCTATCTGACACTCTTTTCATCTCTACTACATTCTTTACCAACTCCTCCTTCAGGACCACCCCTACTCCATTTTTCTTTCTATCCACACCATGGTAAAACAGTTTGAACCCTGCTCTAATGCTGCGAGCCTTGCTGCCCTTCCATTTGTTCTCTTGGACACATAAAACATTTACCTTCCTTCTCTGCATCATATCAGCCAGCTCTCTATCTTTGCCTGTTATTGTCCTCACATTTAGAGTTGCAACCCTCAGTCCTACATTCTTGAATTTCCGCTTCTCCCTCTGTCTCCTTACACGTTTCCCTGTTTGTGGTTTTCGACTAACCGTATCACAATTTCTGCCAGCACCCTGTTTGTCCACAGCACTGGTAGTGGTTGTTGTTAACTCGGGCCTCGACCGATCCGAAATAAATTCCTTGTCAAAATATCTGAAGCTCTCAACCTTTATCTCTCTAAGTGGCTTCAATCATTTGCTAAGTTCTTGGTAAAAATCAATGCAGACATCTTCCTGTTTTTAGTTTTTTACATCGCTGTATTATGTAACTGTTTTTTGTTTCGTTTTTTTAAATACCATTTTCTCTCGTTCTTCTCAGTTTGTATGCTTTGTCATCATTCTTTGTTAAAATCAGGTCTCTCTTGTAAATGAGTCCCCGAGGCTCAATGAGACTAACCTGTAGAAAAAAAGGTTGAATGATTGTTTTTAATTGCCAAATTTTAAAATAGTTATTTGTGGTAACATCAGTGTTTGTTTAGATTATGGTGATTTTCAAGGTAAACCTGTGTGTGTGTGTGGGTGGGTGGTTGCATAGGCATCGCAACCATTATATGTGAAGGGGACAAGTCCCCCCACATTAAAAAAACGTTCATTTGGACACCCCCCCCCCACACACACACACACACACACACTTTTACTATAAAACATTAGTTCAGGTGGCGCAGTTTCTTTCTTCGTGAACAAATCCATTCCACCTGATTGATAGGAGAATACTCAGGCCACTAAAACTCCACTCCAGGTTTTCCTGGTTACCTCCAACTCTAAACACAGCAGCCTGTTGCCACGGTCACAATATACGGTGGTCACAGATATGGTGTAACACCTGCAGTGTTTCTGTGCGTCGGCCTCTGCAGAAAACGCGCACAGGTGGAGGAGATGGACCGACCTCTGTGTTACTCACGCGCCAGTTTAGTGAGCTTAGTGCGGGCAGATGTTGACAGGGGGGTTGATCATAAACCATATTCATGTTAGGAGGATGTTTGACAGGAGCGCTGCATCTGTAGCATCTTACTTTAGCAGTAACTGTGACTCTGTCAGATGCTGCAGGTGTAAGAGACGCTGTGTGTTCAGGTGCATTAAAGTTGAAATGTGTTTAAAACCCCACACCTTATTGCCCTCAAGCTTCATGACAAACATCATTTAGATGAGTAGTGTTGAACACAAGTAAAAATCAATCAACCTTTATTTATACAGGTAAATCCCATTGAGCCTCGAGGACTCATTTACAAGAGACCTGATTTCAACAAAGAAAGATGACAACAATGGACAACAGCAACAACAATAAGCAGTTATAAAAACTCATACTACAGTTTTTTTTTTTTTTTTTTTTTTAACAAATAGGATGGCTAAAAGGAAAAAGGTAACAAAACCAAAAAAACTGCTAGATTCTGAGACAAATGTATAAAACTAAAAACAGGAACATGTCTGCATTGGTCCCTGCCAGGAGTCCAACAGATTCTTAAAGACACTTAGAGAGGTCAAGGTCGAGAGCTTCAAATCTTTTTGTAAGATATTCCAGGAAACAGGAGCGGAGTAGGAGAAGGCCCTTTTGCCTAGTTCAGTCCTCACTGAGGGAACACTGCAGGTAATAATGTCCTGAGAGCGCACTCCGTAGCTGCACTCACGCAGAGACATGTAGGAGGAGATGTATGAAGGCAGCAGACCAAGAAGTGATTTAAAGATGAAAATGTACCAGTGAGAGAGTCTGCGTGAAGTTAATGATGTCCAGTTAACCAGTGAATACAGGGTGCAGTGGTGGGTACGATAATCACAGCCAGTTATGAATCTTAGTGCACCATGATAGACAGCATCCAACATCTGCAGGGTTCTTGTAGGAGCGTTCATGTAAATAATATCACCAAAATCAATTGAGGGAAGGAAAGTCACAGATACAAGGCGTTTTCTAGCATTCAGGGTTAGACAGGATCTGTTTCTGAAAAAGAAACCCAGTTTAATTTTCAGTTTCTTTACCAAGTTTTCCACATGGAGCTTAAAAGAAAGATGTGAGTCGACCAAGATACCCAAATATTTATAGGAATCAACAAACTCAATGGGGACACCATTTGAGGATAAAATCGGAGGAAGAACTGCTGGGACCAACTTCCTATTTGAAAAAAGCATCCCTTTGGTTTTTTCGGCATTTAGGACAAGTTTGAGGTGAAACAAATCAGTCTGGATGTAGTTAAATGCAGATTTCAGAAGCTGGAAAGCCTTAGCAACTGTTTTAGCTCGACAATAAACAACTGTGTCATCAGCATAGAAATGTATGTATGCATTAGGGATGTTTTTACCTACATTATGTATGTAGATTGTAAAGAGGGTGGGTCCTAAGACTGAGCCTTGTGGTACACCATTGTTGACTGTTAAATAACTGGAGGAAGTACCATTATGTTGAACACATTGCCTCCGGTCTGAAAGATAGTTAGAGAACCAACCAATGGTGTGTTCTGAGAAACCGATTTCTGAGAGTTTATGACACAAGATGTTATGATCCACAGTGTCAAAAGCTTTAGACAGGTCTAAGAAAAGTGCAGCACAATAATCCTTAGCATCCAGAGCTTCAACAACGTCATTAAGAACCTTCAGTGAAGCAGTGGTTGTGCTGTGTTGTTTCCTGAAACCAGATTGATGTGGAGGTAAGATGTTAAATGAGTCCAGGTCATTTTTGATTTGAGAGTTTATCAGTTTTTCTAGAACCTTGGCTAAAATGCAGAGTTTACAGATTGGTCGATAGTTGTTCAGTGAGGGGGGGTCACCTCCCTTCAGCAAAGGAAGAACAAAGGCTGTTTTCCAAGTGTCTGGGATGGAGTTTTGTCTTATGGAGAGATTGAAGATGTGGGTCACAGGGACTGTGATGATATGAGCAGCCAGCCTTAAGAAATAAGGTGGAAGTTCATCTGGACCTGCAGATTTTTTAGGGTCAAGATCTTTTAACAGTTTATTGACCTCACTGACTGAGAATGGAGAAAAAGAGAAGCTGTGATTAACTGAGGATTGACTTGTAGGAGGGATTTGATTTGTAGAAGTTTGGTTATTAAGTGAAGTGGCTGATTTTCCATTAGTTACTGTGTCAAATAAAGAACCAGAAGCAACAAAATGTTTGTTGAGACAGTTCAGGATCTCGTGCTTATTTGACACAGGAACAGAGTTAACGAGAAGTTGTGATGGGAGGTCAGATGATTGGGGGGTGCCTGAGAGAGATTTAATTGTTTTCCAGAATCTGTTAGGGTCATTTAGATTTTTGGAGGTCTGAGATAAGAAATAGTTGTGTTTTGCTGCTTTGACAGCAGTTGTACATTTATTCCTCATCTGTCGAAAACTCAACCAATCAGTGTCTGAGTCAGATTTTCTCGCTGCGGCCCAAAGATGATCTCTCCTGTGCAGGAGGTCAACTAGCTCTGGAGTAAACCAGGGGCTGTCTCGTCCCTTTATTCTGAACTGACGAAAAGGAGCATGTAAGTTCAGGAAATAAATGAAATTTAAAAAAAAATCATCACCACTAGACTTAAAAAAAGTCTAGTGGTGATGATTTTTATTTCTCTATAAACACAAATAGTGCCAACCTGATGCTTTTAGTGTATTAAAGTTAAAATGACTTTAAACCCATATGAGTTTGCACAAACTTGGTGAGAAACATGTTTTAAATGTGTGGAATTAAAGGAAATCTAGGTGAAATGCTGCTTTTTGTTCACTAGTGAACACCTTTTTTTTAAACGCGCGCTCATGCATGCGCACACACACACACCTACACACATCATTGTGTCCCCCCCGCATTACGGATGCTTCTAACGCCCTTGGGTGGTTGTCAGGCTTTAGTCCAAGTCGATTGAGGACAGGAGGTTTTTTATTCTTTTGAGCGTCGTTCTGCTCCACACTCCACCACTTGGGGGCGGTAATGCGTCAGATTGTTGTGTGGTCAACCGCCAAAAATGACAAACGCGACGAAGAAGGAGAAGAAGAAGCATTGATGGTTCCAAGCAAAGCTAACACAGCTAACCAATGGACATCAGTCTGACGGTGAGTTGTCTTGTTCTGTTCTAATAAACACGGTCTGGTTCTGGTTCTGGTTCGATGAGGCGGTTCTGCTTATAACTCCATGGCGCGAAAACGAATGCAATGGAACCAGGATTGCGCATGCTCAGTAGACTGTTAGTGTAGCTGTAAGCTAACGGAAGTAGCGTTGTTTCAAATGTTTACGGTAAACGGTAAATTACCAGCGTATTACAGCAGAGATTGAGTTTATTTCGTAAAAGTCCACCCATGCATCCATTATCTTTACTCGATTTTTACTTTTTGGGTCGCGGGTGTCACTGTTGTCCATATCCGGCCATGACTGTCGAGAGGTAGGGGACACCGGACAGGTCTCCAGTCCATCACAGGGACACATAGAGACAAACAACCATTCAGTCTCTCACTCACCTAGGAACAATTTAGAGTTACAGTCAGTCTAACATGCATGTTTTTGGTCTGTGGGAGGAAACTGGAGAGCCTGGAGAAAACCCACGCAGCACGGAGAGACACAGGCCCCGGACCGGGGTATGAACCTGCTCTACCGACTGAATCACTGCTGCCCAGATTTAGTAAAAGTAATGCATATAATATATACATAGTACTTTTTACTCATCTGTGTAGGCACTTGGACATTTTTCAAAAGTTGTTTTAATGACCTTCTGCTTGCAAAAAAAAGAGAGCACTAAAAATGCAACAAAAGGACACCTACCATACCATACCAATTTATTTATAGAGCACTTAAAACAGCAACAAGGCCAACCAAAGTGCTGTACAAAAGAACCAAACATGCACAGCAGACAGGAAAACATCAAATAGAAGTACAGATACAAATAGCAGCAGAAGCTAACTAAAATGGCCAACAGAGTAGAGAACAGACCGGACCAAAACAAATCACACCGTGTTAAAGGCAAGAGAATAGAAGTGGGTCTTCAAGCGAGACTTAAAGACTGAGAGTGTGGGAGCCTGCCGGACACTCAGTGGCAACTCATTCCACAGTCGTGGACCTGCAACAGAGAAAGCCCTGTCACCTCTGAGCTTACGATGGGTTTCCTCATTTGTTAATATTGAATGAATAAGACAGGAGATATTGTCATTCAAAGTAGTAGTTTTAATGTACTTTAATTAAGCTTATTTACACAACAGAGAAAAATAATTCAGTTAATTAAACATTTCACTGTCACTGAATATATGTAAATGTTTTTCCTGCTGACCTTGGGGTCACCAGGTGACCTTGATGACTCCAAGGTCAAAGGTCACATTGGTGCAGTCTTGAAGCTAACAGAAACGGTTACTTCAATGAAAACAAACCTATGCACATTTTGTGATGCATTCTGTACAACTATGACTGTAAGTATTCACTGACATATTTTTCAAGTATTATGTACAATCTGTGGCGGCCATATTGAATAATGGTGTCCACATTGGAGAAAAACTGCAAATTTTAGGTTGTGCCAAACTATATCGTGTAGGGTGTCAAAATGGAGCTCAGAATAAAACTGCACCTTATGCCCAGATTTAAAACTTTCCCCCTCTCTTTTAATGTAACACAAGATCACCCAGGCTGTAGTCTGTCAGGAACTTGAAGAGGGGCATCTGATGGTCCTCACACTCCTCCTCAGCCTCACTGCCTCTCCAGTATGACAAACTGTTTTCAAGCCATTTCTCTTTTGCCACACTCTCATCACCCTACCATGGTGAAGTACATTGCATCCATCCTCTTCAGAAAACCAGACATGGTCAATACAACAATCAACCAGACTCTTGGGATTGATCACAACATCACCAAGAACTTCTCTCTGCTCGTCACTCAAACCAGTTCTTTGGCCAGCTCATCCTTACGTTCACCACTTTCTACAGCTGCTTTCAGTTTCTTCTCCACGGTGTTCCAGTGTTTGGTTTGCTTCTTTTGCTTCTTCTTCTCTAGTCTGACCTGGTATTCCTTTTCACGTAGTCTTTCCCTTTCCCTTCTGATTCTCCTCACTTGCTTTGCTCGCTTGACAGCAAACAGGATGAGGCGGTTCTGCTCAATACAGTCCTTCTTTTTCAACCATTCAAGGGTCTTGTTCTGCTTTGCATGCACCTTCCCATCAATGTATCCCATAGTGACATTTGGTGCGCGGTGGTGCTGGCTATCAACCATGGAGATAACTCTTTCACTAAACATGTTATACCATACCATACCAACTTTATTTATAAAGCACCTTAAAACAACCATAGCTGACACAAAGTGCTGTACATTAAAACACAACATAATAAAAGTGAAAATCAAAAACAGTTTAAAAACAGAAAACATACAATTTAAAACTAGATCCTGCTGGTGTTAAAAACATACATTTTAAAAGCATACAAAATTTAAAAACTAGATCCCGCTGGTGTTAAAAGCCAAGTAGAATAAATGAGTTTTAAGACGAACTTTAAAAATGGACAGTGAAGGGGACTCTCTGACCTGCAAAGGCAAGTCGTTCCATAACTTAGGGCCCATGACAGAGAAAGCCCTGTCCCCTCTGAGCTTCCTTCTTGTTCTTGGTACCTCCAAGAGCAGCTGATCTGCTGACCTGAGAGACCGATAGGGTATGTAGGGATGAAGAAGCTCAGAGAGGTAAGCCGGGGCAAGATTATGCAGTGATTTAAAAACAAACATGAGAATTTTAAAATGAATCCTAAAATATACAGGCAGCCAGTGAAGTGAAGCCAGGACAGGGGTCACATGTTCCCTCTTTCGAGTTATCAACAGGGCTGACTTGGTCTGCTCCAACAACGCAGTGGAGGGATTGGACAAGACTCCTGAGAGGTATGGTTGTAGCTGCCGGGTTAGCACCATGACCGTTGCCTTGAAGAGGACGTGAAGAGTCTCTTTCAGCTCACTCTGGGATTCATCATCCACTTGTTGTAGACATCTGAGGACATCATTCTCCTTCAATGGATTCTCAAAAACATCCTCCTTGGCTTTGAGGACATTAAGAGGCTCTTCTTCAAATTTGCTCAGGTTTTAAACAGCGCACTTCAAGAAGGGAACAACCTCAAGGTTTGTTTTGCTAGCCTTGTTACCATAGAGAAGAGACATCCATGGCCCAGTTACAATCCTCCCCAACAGACCCAGGCTCTGCAGGTGAACAACGATCGAAGCGTTGGTGACGTCCCTGATGATCCATGTGCGTAATCCACTGGTACAGGTGCAAAAGTACTGCAGGTAATCTACAATCTGTGTTCTGTAGCTGAAAAATATTCCTGCTAAATGGAACACAACATGGAGTCCGTTCCCTACGTATCGAACAATCAGTTTGAGATCAATGACAACTTTTTTGAGGAATGGTTTGAAGCCTTGGGGGTCACCTTTTCCTTGCTTAAATCTCATTTTTGACAGAGCATATATCAAATTATCTGCACAGCAGCCACGACCGAGAAGCTGTCCCACGATCTGCTTTTGTTTCTCCAGTTGTTTAAGAGAAGTCCTGCTCTCATTGGCTGTACCATCAAGAGGATGGATATTACAGTTCAGCTGCAACAGTTCCATGTTTAAATCTTCTTCCAGTTTTTCTCTGACACATTTCTTTACAGCCACTCGATCTGAAATGGTGTTTTTGAGTTTTGAGATGAAAATATTGCTCCCTTCCAAAGAACTGGTAGCTGTTAGACTTGCATATGTTTCACTGATGTCACTGAGCGCTTCCTTTATATGAGTCTCAAAGTCATCTGTAGTCCCTCCTGCTAATGCGTTCACCTGTAACTGAAGTCCCCGTGGGCAGGGAGGGGGATCACCTGGAAACTTGAGATGAACCTCATTATGTACTGAGCTGACAGGGATGTTGCATCCCAACCAAGAGGAAGATCAACACACGTCTCATTCACTACTGCTTCTGCAACCTGCACTTCATTTACACACCAAGTTCATATGCAAACTGGGCAACAGTTGAAACATCAGCCTTTCCTCCAACCTTCTAGCCTGTGATGTTCTCAACAACATCTGCTGTAAGATTACTTGTCTCCTCCACTGGCACCTGGTGGAGGATGCACGAGTACGCTGCACGTCTGTAGGATGAGGAATCTGTTTTAGAATCCTTCTTCACTGACACGGTGTCACAGTCAGGTGAAGATTCACAGTCCAGTAACAACCCTGCAGTTTGTCATTATCCACTTCTTTCATTTTTTTCTTGCACAGTTCACTTCTTTTCTGATTCTCCCAACAGTCTCCTAAATTTACACGTATGTTTACGTTTCTTCTTCTGCACTTTTGGACAGACCAGTTCAATAGACTTCTTCAGTTTTCTAATTTCAGCATCATTTTGCATCACAATCCTCTTTAACTTCCGTCTTTCTTTGCACAGTTTTGATTCTCTGTCTACTTTTCGTTTATAAGCTTCCTTAATTCTTCTATTTTCAGCACTTGACAAGAGCAAATTGTCAAAATTCTGTTTAAGTTTTTGTTTGCTAGACACTAATTTCATAAGTGATGTCCGCCTGTTAACACATTTGTTGCAGTCTGCCTTGAGTCGCTCGGGGGGGGGGGGGGGGGCTGTCACAGTCGGAGTTGACTCAGAGCTCATGAGAGCAAAGGGAGGACGGCTGGCTGGTCGTTTAACTGGTGTAGCATGAGGAACATGTAACTGGTGTAGCATGAGGACATGAGGAACCTGTAACTGGTGTAGCATGAGGAACCTGTAACTGGTGTAGCATGAGGACATGAGCCTGTAACTGGTGTAGCATGAGGACATGAGGAACCTGTAACTGGTGTAGCATGAGGACATGAGGAGCCTGTAACTGGTGTAGCATGAGGACATGAGGAGCCTGTAACTGGTGTAGCATGAGGACATGAGGAACCTGTAACTGGTGTAGCATGAGGA